ATACAGAAAAGTTCTTGTAAATAATTATATTGTACAAAAATCAAAAAGAAGAGATGAAAGTCATTTTTAGATGAGAAGATAGACTGTCTTGGAAGTTGGTCAAATGCTTTCAGTTGTTGTAGCAACAACCAAACAAAAACTGCTCGTTGGAGCCTTATCAGGTCTACTGATACTTCCCTTTACTTTTTTTTCGTAACAAAAGGTAGACTATGTCCTTCTCCAAGGTCAAATCTATCTCTGTGCCATATTTCATCAAAATCGGTTCTGTGGTTTCGGAGTCCATCGGACACAAACTATCGAACATGTCGAGTAGTTTAGGAAGCTACAAAGGACACATAAACAAACATTTATTTTTATGTAGCTAAATTACATGTTCTCCCCCGGAAAATATTTTATTCTTTTAGATTAGAAAACTAACACAAATGTTGACACAAAAAACTCAAAAATGTTAGATTGAAAAAAGCATAAAATGTTATAAATCGAATTTTATTGATTTTTATTGATTTATACAGTTTAATAATTTACATCATTTTTAATCGGTGATTGTTAAAATCAACATATTAAACAAATCTTTTCTAGATAACCAAAAAATGAAAAATTTATACATCCAGTCCAAAACTCTTTCGCTCCTTAAGTATGAGGTTTTCGAAAAATTCTTTCTTATTACACATTTTAGACATTAGCGTACGCTTTTTAAAAACGCAGTATTCTAAACGCTCGCGTCAGGTTTTAGTTACATACTATGCGTTTTAGATGCTAACGTACGCATTTAACGGGCGTATATCTAGCAAAAGATACATCGATATATCAATAACTCTTTTCGATATATCAATTTTTTATATAGTTCGATGGCTTGGGTAAAATATCGATAATCGATATATTTTCACGATATTATCGATATATCGCAATTCATAGTATTCGTGTATGAAAATGAAAAATATTTTTTTTCAAAATTTACGTCATAATGCCATATTATAAACTTAAATAATATTGTCAATACATTTTTAAACACGAATTAATACAGATCTAAAATCATTGATTTTATTATTTCCTTATATTTTTGCTTTCCAGTATGATCTTAATTTGAGGTATTATTGTATTAATTATATACATACACAATATATACAATTATTATATACAATACAGTATGTTTCGTCACTTGAAAGGTGTGACGTTCCCGAGGGGCAAACGCTCCACCCGTTCTGCTGTCGTCACGCGGAGTTATCAGACGAGGGTCTGCGCATAGCTCCGATGTGTGAGTGGGTGCGGCAACGGTCGACCGATTTCAAGCTCCCATCTTTCTCCAGCGGGCCCACAGCCACCATGAGTCCGACCTCAAAGGTGCGCGACGCCGGGACCAGGTCCAAACGGCGCGCCCCCCGTTCTCGGGTACCGTCCAATTAAGGTTGGGCTCCCCGAGTTCCCGTGACATGGGTTTTACAGCCGGTTTTTCGACTGCCGGCACCCACTCGGCCGTGCGGCGTTTGAATGCCGCCACCAGTACGACTCGGTACGGGGTTGGTACGAGGTTGGTAGCGGTCGGTTGGACGCACGGAGTTCCAAGCGGCCGCCTCAATATAATATATACGATATATCTACGTCATGTACTCTTTTATATGAAAAAAACGTGTATATTATCTTAATAGTTGGGCGTCATACACATATACGCCACTTAATAACATCATTAATTTCATTATTTCCAAGAAACGAAAACCGAATACATGGAATTATCCATTTGCTTATTCACGTCGCACTGAAATACTCAAAAACCGAAGTAAAATTAAAGCATTGCTCCACGTCACTACCACTGTCTCCAGCTAAACAATGTATAAGCCTATCATACATATATATATATATATATATATGTTTAAATCTATTTTTGAATGCTACCTATGTATTAAATAAATATTTCATGTAATTGGGCTCAAACCTATATATATATATATAAATAAACAAACGTTTCTTACCCCATGACTCACATAGTAGTATTATTACTCGGTAGTCGGTACTCCTATATTACCCAATTATAATACACCTATAGTTTATAGTACACTGTACAGTAGGGTGGACCTTAGCTATAGATGAAGAAATTTTTTATTTCTTACCCCCCTCATTTTGTTCATTACTATAAGAAAGTAATTCGGGTTAAATTTGGTCATGATTATTCACCCTTTTCACGTGCCCCAATAGGGTTGAATAATAGTGAAAAAGGGTTGTTTTGTCATTTTTTGACTATATTCAAAAAAATATTGCATTTATCTTAAACATGTATAAAACATATATTATAGATATTTATATTTTTAACAAAAAACATGTTCATATAATTTCTCATAAATCTATCATTTCCCAAGAAAAATGATAAAATATCGAATATTTTATTTATTTTTAAAAAAAAATTTTTACGGTTGTTTAAATATATTAAAATAATGGTTGATGATACAATAAAATATCTTATATAAAATTGATAAAAAATTTGATTTCCTAAAAAAATGTTAATTAGCATACATTTTATTGGATTGACTGTTTTATTGTAACAGTCAGGTTAACGTAAAAAAATGTAATGTATCTAAAATGCTATTATGTTAATCAAGAGTTTCATTAATAATACATATTTTAAGATAATAATACATTGTATACCAATAGATAATATTTTGTACCTAATAGTTGTATCGGAATCGGATAATATGTTACAGTTGAGATTATGGGATGGTAAACTTCTTCCCTCATTATCCGAAAAAAAAATGATTGACCGCCTATAGGAATACCCAGTGTCGGCCCTAGGAGGGGGGCAAGTGGTGCGATCGCACTGGGCTCCGCGCTTGTATGGGGCCCCACAGGGGTATATTTATGGAGGGGCTAAGGGAATTGTTTATTAAGTCTGTTTATTATGTCCTATCAGATGTAAATCGTAAACTTCAATATAATGTTATAAAGAATTATAAGTAACAACGAATAAGTTATTCATGTAAAGGGTCTGACGATTTTGATCGTAATAATTATATCGTTGAGATCGGTACATTGTGTTTAATTTTGACGTACGGTACTGCTGCATTATCGTAATTTCGATTTCTTTTACCTAGAATTGATTTACTGATATACACGCGTTGTGGCGTCTCAATCATCGTACAATTTTTATACGAACCCCTATAAGCTAAAAAATTTCCGATAAGTGACGGCGACGACCGATAACACTATCACGGTGATCGGTTTACGTCGTATAGTTGTTACTCAGTTCGTTATCGGCAGCCGGCGCGGCAGGTTTGATGAAGTTTCCGTTCCGTAAATAACGTTAAGTGTAAATCGCATTCGCATAAAGTGTTTCAAATGCCTTCTGGACAAGGAGGGGCCGAAAAGATGGCGACAGAAGCCTCGCGAAAGAGGAAAATGAAAGAAAATCTCTCCCCAAAGTCTCCAACAAGTCTTCAAATAAAAATAAAAAACCGATACACACCGCTATCTAATCTCAATGACAACGTAGAAATAAATGATAACTCACTGGCTATCACCGATAATACACATTCCAAGGTAAGAAAAATTCCACCTATATTCGTCCACAATATTACAAATTACGAACAGTTTCACTTATCCTTAGCATCTGTATCTAACGATGACTTTACAATAGAACAAAAAAAGATTCGCTAAGATTAAAACTAACAACAATTGACGATTATAGAACTGTTACTAAAGAGCTCGAGACAATGCAAATCCAATACCATACTTATCAACTCCCTGAGGACAAACGTTTATCTGTCGTTATCCGTAATCTACCAGTTTCAATTTCAGAAGAATCTATTTTCTCAGCCTTGTGAGAGTTACAGTATGAGGCAATTTCGGTCACTCACCTACAAAACTATCTTAAAGTCCCGATACCAATAGTGGCAGTCCTTCTACCTCAGTCATCAAAACACGTATACTCCTTAGATAGATTACTGCACTGCATAGTCTCAGTTGAGCCACGTAAACCTTCCACAGATATCCCACAATGTAAAAACTGCCAACGTTACTCACATACAGAAAAATATTGCCATTTACCACCGAGATGTGTTAAATGCGCCGAAAATCATCATTACAAAAATTGTACGATAACAAGGGAAACTGCATAAAAGTGTGTAAATTGTGAGGGGAATCACCCGTCTAGCTATAAAGGTTGTAACATAGTTACTATAAAGACCTTAGGTTACTACTTATTTGCTTATTTATTCCTTTTGGGAATAAGAGAGTTTGTACTGTTTTTGATGAATAGGTTGTATTATTCCAGGCGTTTTAATTTCGTGATACACTGCATTGGTGCATGATATTTGGTCTCCTTCTAAATGAAACACGTCAGAGAATTCGTGACATAGATTCTGAGTAGCTTCTCGTTCTTCTGACGACAAATGTTCCGTGCGTAATGTTTTATTTATTTGTGTAATTCGGTCGTATTGATTTACGACGATTTCTTTTGTTCCGGAAACATGTTTGATAGAGGCTTCGTTTAGTGTTTCATATGTAAATTCTTCTAGGTTTGGTACCTTCAAGGCCGTAACTGGAAATTAATTTCGGGGGGGGGGGTTGTAAGCCAAAAATTTGTGTTCTTATTATATTATAATATTGTGTAGGTAATTAAATATGGTTAAAAATTCATAATATTGTAGAATTATAAATAGTATTTATTAATGAAATTCACATTAAAAAATTTTTAGACTTAATATTAATTAGATTATTAAACTTAATTCTATACATTTAGTCTGAAAAATGGTTTATATTTTATATGACAAACTCTATATTTCTTTGTTTTTCATTTGAAAAACGATTGATTACTTCTTCTGGATCTACAACGATATTCCTATGTACACTGAGTAATGCTAGGTCAGTCAATCGGTCTTCTCCAGTTGTATTCCTTAGGTAATTTTTTATTCTTTTCAGCGTCGAAAAAGTTCTTTCCGGTGTCGCCGTAGTTACTGGTAAAGTTGCCAAAACTTTTAATAAAAATGAAATATTTGGGAAAAATTTTTTGTTACAATTTGAATATGCTTCAAGTATTTCAGGAGATCGTTCTAATATTGGTTTATCACACCATTTTCTTTTCCAAAGTTTTAACTCGTTCGAAAGTGCATCCAAATCTAAAAACTCTGAGTATAATTCGAAATCACTTGCTTCTAATTCAGAATTAGTACATTTATTGGGAAGTAAAAAGCACAGCGAAGATATTATTTTTTTTATGATTAGTGAAGCGTTCTTTTAATTGTCTTATAAAATCATCAAAAAATGGTATTGCAATAGGTATACGAAAATATGTTTTCGGACAATTAGTAACAATATTCACACGATTTTGTTGACGAGCTACTATTCTGGGAATTCTAATATTTTCTTCTCCATCAATAGATTTTAAAAGAAGTTCAGATTTTTCAAAAATGTCATTAAACGTATGATCAATATTTTCACGTAAATGAATTAATTCGTTTAATATTGTCTCGATATGTTGTACAGCTTCTACTAAGTCACAACTAACTGATTGTAAACTTTTACACAGTGGAAGTGTCATTGAAAACAGAGTATTTGATGTAACCATACTTAATATAAATTCACTAGTAACTATTGCTCGATAAAATTGAATTGATTTTGATGACGTATTGATGTCTTGAACTAATTGTAATTCTTCCAAATTTTCAACAATGGGTTGGAAAATTTCAACAAATCTTTGAATTCCGTTGTGGTTTTCAACCCAACGAGTGTCACACATTGATGTCAGTTTAGTCCACTTGGTATTAGGTAAAATGTTTTTTATTTTAGTTTTTAATATATTTGTCCGCATAGCCGAACTTTTAATGAAATTTCCAATAGATTTTATTGTACCAATACAATTTCTGACGTATTGAACATTGCACGAATGAGCTAGCGCTAAATTTAAAGAGTGCGCACTACAATGCACGTAAAGTGCTGCTGGATGACTTTCCCTTATAATAGTTTGGACGCCTTTAAGATTTCCACTCATGGACGCAGCGCCATCATAACCCTGACCGACCATATATTTATCGTTAATTCCAAGTGCTTGTAATGAATTTATTATTACAGAGGCTAGGTTTTGACCAGTTGTACTGTGAACCGGTACAAATTGTAAAAAGTCTTCACGTAAAACATAATTAATAGTATCAGTTGTCTCTACTGAATCTATATATCTAATACAAAGAGTCAATTGCTCTATGCGTGATATGTCGGTAGTTTCGTCAACGAGAACCGAAAACGACTTCGCTGCATTAATTTTACAAACTAAATTATCTTGAATTATTTTCCCACAAATCTTAATAAAATTATTTTGTATACTAGGACTTATGTACATAGCGTTTAAAGACTGATTTTCAATATGATTAATTAATTGTTTGTCTCCGCATGAAATTCGCATACGCAACAGTGCTCTAAAATTACCATCATTATGATCAGGTTCAAGAATATTTAAATCAAGAGGACCCGAATCATTTCGCCCTCGAAGTGCTAACTCTTGTCGGCCACATAAAATAATTGTTTTTATAATTGGAACGAGTTTTTTTCTATTTTCAGAAATTTGTAGAGCTCTTGCGGAATCGATTTGTTGTCGAATATCTGGTTGAAGTTTGGTATACGTGTTAATAAAATTTTCACCAAATATTAAACTATTTTTATGAAATTGTGTTGTGCTATGATGGGATAAAGTTTCAATAGCTTTTTTCCAATTATTAAATGGCTTATTAACTAAGATTCCCAATTGATGATTTCCTTTTCCTTCGAAATCCCTGGCAAATAAAACACAAAACGTGCACATTGCTCCTTGTTCACCTATTGTTGTGTAAGCAAGCCAAGAAAATCGTTTAAACCAATTAAACTGGAATTTTAAATTTCTTTTTCCAACTATGGGAAATTTATAAGTTTCATCGGGTGTCCATTTATTTACTAATAATTTATACTTCAATTCGTTACTTACAGTTTGATTCAAATATTTCCCAATATCATAAATATTAACGTTTGAGGTAGATGTTTCATTGTTCAACTCTGGACAATAAAGATTTTCCAATAAATTTAATTTAGGCTTTTTTATAAAGAAATTATTCATCATAGTGTTTTGTCTTTTTGCCATTTCAAATAAATAAATTAAACACTTCGTAAATCGTAGCACACTAAAACGTCAGAACGTAAACCAAATGTCAACTAAATATTGGAAATGAATATTGCCCGTGAAAAATTTTTAACTATTATCAAAGACTATTAAGATAAGATTACTAAAATACTAAGAAATAGTTCTTTGTCGATTACACATTCTGGTGGTAATGTATTATACATATATACCTATGTAGTATATACCTATAATATTATCAAAAAATCCGGCTGATACACCCGAAGTGAAGTTATTTTTAAGTTTATAACGTAGACCATAGCTGTCATTCGTATATGCACGTATCAATGTTTATCGATTATTCTAGACTGAAATAGTTATTTTATTACGACATAAAATAACGCGAAAAATGTCGGGGAGGGGGGGTTGAACCCCCAAACCCCCCCCAGATACGGCCTTGGGTACCTTTATTGTACAGATCTCATCTGAAGTGTTGATGACACTTATAAGTAACTGTTGATTTACGATGTTATTTAGCACGTTACCACAGATTACATTATCTGTTATAAGTTATGCATGAATTATAATTCCTTTAGATTCCATGTCGGGATTGTTGACGAATATGAGAACGACCGTTTCACAACGTGCGGGTAATTTTATAGTAGATTTGTCTGGCAATGATAATTCTCCTTGACATACATCAATGACAATGCAATGCAATCCAAAGATACTGAAGTAATAAGACAAACCTTGGAAGAAGATCTTAATGTACTTGAAAATTACTTTAAAAGGTGGTGATTAAAACTAAATCCTTTGAAAACCACCGTATCCTTGTTTCATTTGAACAACAGAGCGGCCAATCAAGAACTCACAGTGAATTTTTGCGGCCATCGAGTAAAACATGATAAACTACTAGTCTATTTAAGCGTTACGCTAGACCGTACTTTAACTTACAAACATCACCTGGAGAAAATAGCATCCAAACTGAAAACGAGAACTGCATTAATTTCCAAATTTGCCGGGACCACTTGGGAAGCCAATACTCAGGTCCTGCGAACATCAACCTTGGCTTAACTTTATTCAGTGGCTGAGTATTGTTCTCCGTTTTAGGAAGGAAGTACCCACTGTAGACTAATAGATACCGAACTGCGGAAAGGTCTCCGCATTATTACTGGTACAGTCAAATCCACTAAAGTACTGTGGTTATCAGTCTTAGCCAACATCGAACCCCCACATATTCGCCGACAAAATACTGTATTGCGAATTGCGGACAAAATACAAAATAACCCAATATTGCCAATTCATGAATATGGAGTTGCAATGCCAAGACTCAATTCCCGGCGCCCCTTTATCGCGAGATTAGAAGCAATAAAGAACCATAGAAGTCTTCAGCCCGACCCGTGGAAGGAAGAATGGGAAAATGACATCCAAATTAACGGTTCTTTAGAGGATAATATACATAGTAAACCTCCCGGGTCAGACCTCTCCCGAAAACTCTGGACAAGGCTAAATCGCATACGTACAGGCCAAGGTCGGTGTAATTATTTATTACACAAGTGAAAAATCAAGACAGACCCTAAATGTGACTGTGGCGCGGATAAACAAACAATGGAACACATAGTAAGTGAATGTGCAAAGAGGAAATTTACTGTAACCTTATCTGAGATACATTTGGCTACAGACAAGGCAATTAAATGGCTAGACTCATTAGACATCGAAATCTAACGTAATCCACTACCAAAGATAACGCAATGTATATGCCACCGTACTGCACTCACATATTTACCAATCTATTTATTTATTAGTATTTTTATATTCCATAGTTTATATTTGTTATGTGCAGTTAATTATTTGTATATTTATTTGTTTATTCTAATTTGCCTGTTAGCTAGTAGTATTAATACTGTAATAGTACTTTATAACTATAATTATATTGCATTCAATAAAGGTCATACGATGATAATAATAATAATAATAATAATAATCAATGACAGCTCAGTTTTCCATTAGAAAAGGTTCTCCCAAGATGCCATCTCCCGGTATCGGAAAATCTGAATCCACAATAAAAAATTCTAATTTAAAATTATTTTTTTCTACGAGTACATCTAACCACGTTGATCCAATTATATGGGTTATTTCGTTAGTTATGCCTTGTAGTTGTTATTTTTTATTCGTATCGATTAATATATCATTCTTTAATTAATTGATTTTGATTATATTAAGTGCGGCCCCAGTATCCACTAACAGTTTAATCTGATCTATGGTACACTGTGTCGAAGTACACAAGATTTGTCTGTTTTTTAGTTTTGTGATTCGATACATAGATTTTTGATAGGACCCATTGTTTTTATATCCTTGACCGATCGTGGGTCTTGTACGTTCGGTCGTGCACCGTTTCCCGATGTTGAAGGTTGAACTTTGTCGAATTGACGGTTATCGGCTCTTTTCTTTTTGAAGCAATCTTCCCTTATATGACCTTTCGCTTTGCAATATGAGCATAAGATTTTATGTATTGATGTGTTGTTGGTTTGTTACGAATAACTATTTTGGCCCGTATCCTTAGGATTGGAGTTTAGTTTCGCAAATTTACACTGATTTGTTTCATGGTTTCATTTAGGACATACTGTACAGTATTTTGTTGTCCAGTTCTTTTCTTGTTTGTTTTGAAATAAGCGTTGCGTATCCGCAGTGAATTTAATGAGTTTTCCTCTTCTAAGCTGTAGTTAATAGCTTCTTCTAGGGATGTATGATGTCTTGATTTAATGATTTGTCTCAAATTTGGTTCAAGACCCTCGATGAACATGGTGAGTATTGTTTCTTTAATATATCCGCGAATCGTTGTCGCCGCCTCAACATTCTTACCTACTACGCTAACATTGCATAGTTCGTGCAGTAGATTTTCCATATTATTTGCATAATCTTGTACGGTTTTACCCGATTTTTGTTTTAATGAATGTAGTTCAAGTTGAAGTTAACGTGGAGTCCGTTGTGCACAGAACGAGTTTTCAAGAAGTGTCCTGAGACCTGGCCAATCGGTGATAACACGATTTTGAGTTATAGCGAATGCTTTACCACCTAATTTTTTTTTTATGGCTTGAACTAACACTGATTTGAGGGAAGTATCTACTCTTTGTACGGCAAAATCACATGCATTTAAGAAGCGGTGGATTCCCCCCCCCCTTTATTCCCTTCGAAAGACGGGATTAACTTTATTAAAGTTTCTGACGATAATTTTCCTTCAGCCATATTTTGGTTTTCAAAATCGATTAAATATTCAGATTTGTTAAGATTGTTTGTGTTATTTTCTAAAATTTCTAATTTATGTCTTGTTATTAACCGAGTTACAGGTCTATTGGGTAAATTATCGGGATTGTCTTTACCTGAATCGGTTGTTTTTTCTACGGGATTTAGCATAACCTACCTAGTTGATTTATACTCTTATTTTAACAGAGAACGATATAATTTTTAGTTTACATGTAACATGATAATATGTCTTAGTGTAATAAATGCTACTGCTTAAATCTATATGTATATAATAAAAGGAGAAAAAGAAATAAAAAACTTGCAGTAGTGTGGAGATTAGCACGATGTAGCCAGTCATCGTGAACTGTTGATTGAGCGTCGATGAATGTTCAGTGTTTGTTGATCTCGCTAACTCCCTGTGTGAATGGACTCAAAGTGATTCCTACAAAGTCTTCACGTATCTTCGTTAACGTTATCAGCTCCGAAACTGCTGACGCGGAGACCACAATAAATTGTGGGTTTTATACTATATTATATGATACACTATGCACACAGTGTGATAGTGTATTTATACCATATGTATTATACGATATACTGATTGTTTATAAAACAGTATATATATTTCGTCTTGATTGAATAATGCTGACGCTGTAACGACAGTTGGTCAGTGTCACTTGTAATAGTACCTCTTTAGGAGTTGTTATGTACTAGCGCGGACAGTGCTCGACAATTTTTTAGAACGCCTCTAAGTGTGTTAATTGTTTGCTGACACAACGTTTTGTTTGTGTGTAATTGGAATGTGCCACACCCATAAATATTGTAGACGCGACACTATATACTATTGTACAGTATAAATGTGTATAGACACGTTTGTAGTAATATTTGCGTATATTATATGTAATAATACTTGCGTATATTGACGTTCTAACGTGTACTGAATCCGTTGAACGTATAGACTGTGTGATGAATCGAATTCCCAGATGGTTGATGTGTTAGGTTGAGAAAAAAAAATTCCTGGATCGCACCACTACCACCAATTGTTATGTCCCGTCGGTTAGTTCCAACGGACATGAATATTTTCGCTAACAGGAATGGTTGACACAAAAAACAACAACTATCGAACTATTTATATATATTAAGTTATAATAAAAACACAGTATTAAAGTTAGTTATTGATATAAATGTGTTCGACTAACGTATGTTGCATTTATGTACTTAGGAGAAAAGGAGGGGTTCTTAACAATCAACTGAAAGACAAGCATAAAATTCAAGTCGAAATGATAATGAACCTGTTGATGATGATTTTGGATTTGTTAATAGCCTTATAACTAGAGATAAATCATCAAGTTCTTTGAGTTCTATTTCCTTGACGGATATTTCAGAAGTAGGAGTTGTAGGACTTTTGCAGTCACCATTGTCATCGTTTGTGAACATTTCAGGATCAATAAGTACAAGTAATCTTATGCTTATTTCCAGTAAGAGAAAACTACAGACATCAGTGACTGATTTTACAATAACAACCACTCGAAGTCAAAAAGAAAAATTAGATTTATTAGTTGATAATTTCTTTTTTTCTTCAAATTTACTATTTAATGCTACTAATAAGCAGCATTTTAAAATAATGATTACAGCTTTACGCCCAGATTATACTTCATCATCGCCATATCAAATAAGTGGAAAACTTCTAGATGCTGCATGTATTAAAGTGAAGGAAGAATTAATAACCCAATTGCAAAATTGTTCTTTAACACTTATTTTAGATGGAAAAAATAAGTGTAATT